TCTTTTTATTGAGTTTGTTTTTCAATGCATGGTAGATGTGAAGACATCCTTAGTGTATGCGCAGTCAGTAGCAGCTCTCAAATTTCTCAGCAGGAAGAGCTTGGAGCATTAATCTTGTGAGAGGGCAAATGGAGTTGGAGTATGTGTCTGGAGACTGATCATTTACAAGTATAGGCAAGCCCCCCTCATTTTACTACCCTTTTCTTTCTTGCACTTCACAGATACTGTATTTTTTACAAACTGAAGCTTGGTGGCAACCCCTCATCCAGGGACTTTATTAGTGCTGCCATTTTTCCAACAGCACACACTCGCTCTGTGTCACATTTTGGTAATTTTTGTAATACTTCAAACTTTTTATTATTGCTTCTGTTATGGTGATCTATGATGATCTTTGATGTTACTATTGTAGTTGTTTTGAAGCACCACAAACCACACTCATAAAAGAAAGTGAGATTAATGGATAAATGTGTGTGTTCTGACTGTGCCACCAACCAGATATTTCCCCATCTCTCTCCCTGTCTTCGGGTCTCCCTATTTCCTAAAATACGATATTGAAATTAGGCCAATTAATAATCCTAAAATGGCTGCTAAGTGTTCAAGTGAAAGGAAGACTCATAAATGATAAGAAAGTGAAACAGCCTTATTGCTGATGCGGAGAAGGTTTTAGCAGTCTGGATAGAAAATCAAACCAGCCACAACATTTCCAAATTCCCAAGCCTAAAGCAGAACAAGGCCCTAACTCTTCAATTCTATGAAAGCTGAATAGGTTAGGAAGCTGCAAAAGAAATTTTGAAGTTAACAGAGGTTGGTTCATGAGGTTTCAGGAAAGAAGCTGTCTTCGTAAGATAAAAATGCAAGATTTAGCAGCAAGTGCTGATACAAAAACTGCAGCAAGTTATCCAAAGGATCTAGCGAAGATCACTGATGAAGGTGGCTACATTAAACAAAAGATTTTCTGTTGTAGGCGAAATAGCCTTTCATTGGAAGAAGATGTTATCTAGGACTTTCATAGCTAGAGAAGAAAAGTCGGTGCCCGCCTTCAAAGTTTCAAAGGCAGGCTGATTCACTTGTTAGAGGCTAATGTAGCTGGTGACTGTAAGCTGAAGTCATCATTCATTTACCATTCTGAAAATCCTAGGGCCCTTAAGAATGATGCTTAATCTACTCTGCCTGTGCTTTACAAATGGAACAACAAAACCTGAATGACAGCAAGTCTGTCTATAACGTGGTTTACCGAATACATGTAAGCCCCCTATTGACACCTATTGCTCAAAAGGAAAGATTTCTTTCAAAATATTGCTGCTCATTGATGATACAATGAGTCACCCAAGAACATTGATAGAGTTGTATAAAGAGATTTTTTTTTTTACTATCTAAGGAAGCTATAGCTTTAAACAATATATTTCTTAAATAATAAGACTTGAAAGAAAATAACTTATTGATCTATGGGCTACAGAATGAATGTTTCTTATTATTTAAGAAATATATTCTCTGATGGATCTGGGCAAAGTAAACCTTCTGGAAAGAATTCACCACTCTAGATGTCACTGAGAACATTTGTGATTCATGGGAGAAAGTGAAAATATCAACCTTAACAGGAGTTTGGAAGAAGTTAATCCTAACCCTCATGGATGACTCTGAATAATTTAAGACTTCAGTAGTGGAAGGAACTGCAGAAGTTGTAGAAATAGTGAGAATCGAAATTAGAAATGAAACCTGACAATGTGACTGAATTGCTGCAATCTCATGATCAAACCTGAATGAATGAGGAGTTGCCTCCTATGGATGAGCAAAGCAATATCTTGAGATGAAGTTTTTCTACTGAAGGTGCTGTAGACATTGTTGAAATGAAACAAAATATTTAGAATATTACATACACTTAGTAGATAAACAGCAGGGTTTGAGGTGATCGACTCTAAGTTTGAAAGAAGTTCTGTGGGTAAATGCTATCTAACAGCATTGCATGCTACAGAGAAATCTTTTCTGAAAGGAACAGTCAGTTAATGCTGTAAACTTTGTTGTCTTATTTTAAGAAATTGCTGCAGCCACCCCAGCTTTCAGCAGTCACCACCTGGATCACACAGCTGCCATCAACATTGAAGCAAGACACTTCACCAGCAAAAAGATTATGACTTGTTGAAGGCTCAGATGATCATTTGCATTTTTAGTAATAATTTTAAAATTAAGATATATGCATTTGTTTAGACAACATGCTTTTGCACACTTGACTACACAATAGTGTGAATATAAATTTTATATATGCTGGAAAACCAAAAGGTTTCTGACTCGATTGCGATATTCTCTTTATTGCAGTGGCTTAACTGAACCTACAATATCTCCTGTGTGTGCCTGCACAATAACTTTATTTAAATAATGTAAATATTCAAAGTATCTAAGAAGGGTACTGAAGGAAATTATGTGAGATGGTAGCTGGGTAGTGCCCCTTCTAAGCTATGCCTACTTTGGTGCCATATCCACGCAGAGTCCAGTCTTCCAAAGAGTGATCACTCTAAAGTATCTCTGAGAAAGAAACACTCACTTTTAGCAGTCAGAAACAAATTTCCTGAGGAAGCCATAGAATCAACTGATACTTCCCATTCTCTGGAGGTTTAAAGAGGCAGTTTGGTGTACGGTTTGGGGAATGGATTGTAGGATCAGAGAGACTTGTTTTCAAATTCCAGTTTTGTGATTTATTAGTCGTGTGATCTTGGGCAAGCCATTTGTCTGTCAGATTTGTTGTACACTGTTGGGAATAAGTGCTTGTCTTCTGATGTGGCAGGCAAGAAGCAGCATTCAGACAAAAGATTTCTCCGCAAGGCTTTCTTTTACTTTCTGCAGAAAGAACACTGCTCACCAGCAGTCTTACCATGAGAATACACTGAACAAAGGAAGAGCAAGCATATTTATGTCTAACACACCCAGCCTTATTGCTGTGTCCTGATTTTATTTGCTGGAACTGGACCTCACATTCTGCACTAAACCCAATTGGCTAATAACTTAAAACTTTCCTAAAGAGGAAGGACAGAGGAGAACAAAGGAAAAGAGGAGGTAGCTTATGGGATGCTGACAGAGGCAAAAATACTTCTAAAGAAAGAAAGAGGAACAAGCTGTGACCTAAGCCTTGCCTGGACTTATCCAGGCATGTCAGGGCAGATATCTAGACTAAAATGTAACAGCTAAGAACACAGAATACACTGATTTCTTTATTTTGGCTAGCAAATGAAACAAAGGTCTGTGAGTAGATTAACCTAGAAAAAGAGACTACTATCTATTCTTAATAGGCTAAGAGAATTTGAATAGGAACCTTTATTTCACTTTCTACATATGTAAACAGCCTGCCTAGGGTTGTGTGGGTCAAGATGGTTGTCTGTGTGTGTGTGTGTCATATTGCTTTGTCCTTGTACCTTGTAAGTGCTTCAAAATGGTAGCTATTACTATAAATATCATCATAATCTATATTATCTTACTGAGCCCACATATATTTTCTTTCAATGTGTTTTCTTCATTCATTGACTCAAGAAAAATAATTATCTTGACCTAAAACTTGTCATAGGTTGTGAAGACATCAGTTTGATAAGTTAATTATTTGGTCAAATGGAAGGACTTGCACATGAATAACAATCTAGTGATAAAGTACAAAGGGCAAATGGTATGCTGAAGAAGCCCTGAATTCCGACTGTGGCAGGTAGGTAGGGTTCACAGAAGAGATGACATATTTTAGCTGGTTCTAAAGGATGAATAGAATCTCAGAAGTGGGATGTGGGGTGGAGAATTGCTGTCAGAGAGAAATAATAGCTTAAAAAGAATACAGGTTTGAAAGTACAAATTCTTTCAGGGTGATTTGTTATAAGAAACTAAAGGGTAGGCTTGAGGAAAGGTTGATGGTTGGGGTATTCGGACAGGAGTGATGTATCAGGATGTAAATGTGAATTTTAGTCTTAAACCTTGTAAGGCAGAGATGGTTCATGCTTACTCTGTGTGCATTAAGGAGCCATTGGGAGGTTTTTAAGCTGGGAAATGTCACAGTAAGATTTGCTTGGGAAAGATAATTCTGGTGTGTTCTGAAGGGTTTATGTGGGAGAAACATGAAATGAGATGCAGAGACACTAATTAGAAAATTATTTCAATAAGAAGGCATTTTAGGTCAGAGGCAGTAGTAATAGCAAGATGAAGGTGTATTTCAGAAAAGGAAAGCAGGAGTCTGAAGTGAAAATATTTATCCCTCACCACAGAAGCTCTTTCAAACATTTGAAGACACTGTTTTGAGCTTTCTAGATCATTCAGTTTTTCAGACCAAACATCTCCCACCCCTTTAATTGCTTCAATTTAGAAATGTCCTTGTCTTCCTTAACATACTTTCGATGAGTAATCCAAATCTGTCATCTTTCTTCTTTAAAAATAGGTCCTTAAATTGAAACCCACACTTCAAATATAGACTCATCACCTCTAACCAGACACTGTACAGCTATACTTTATTATAAAATGGCACTATCTCTTAGACATTTTGTCATAATCTTGGCATCATTGAACTTGTGGCTAAGGAATATGCCCAGATTCTTTTTGCATTAACTGTTGTCATGCCACCTTTTAACATATGATTTGCAAAGTTTTATCCACATATCCTGATATACTGAGAGGCTGAATTAGGTGGGCAGGTATGTGATAAAAGCCCTGGAAGATTATATTTTAAAATAGCTTATGTTGCTAATAATTGAGAGTGACTTATGAATAACTGCATCTAAGGTGTTGATGTAGACTTCTAGAGTAAATCATGGTTCATGAACATTTACCTTAAGTGTGGAGCCTGAAACACCTAACCTGGAATCCTCCCAGCCTCAACCCTAGCCAAGCTATTTTACAGCAGAGAAATGTATTGACAAGTTGGGAATCTGTCTAAAACAAATACATTTAGACTTAATTTCAATCATAGATAATTAACCAGTTCACTCAATGTCTCATAAACCTAAACTATCTGTACAAATATAACATGACATAATGATACTTGATGTGGAAAAACACCTAAGGATTCTTGTTGATCAGCTCATCATGTGACTTTAGGTAGATCATCTTCTCATATGCCTTGGTTTCCTCATCTGTAAAATAGGGATACAATGCTAATATTAACAGTATCCCATGGGGTCATTACAAGGATTAAATAATCATATTTTTAAATAATTAGAATTCTACCAGGTTTATAAAAAATACTATTGAGAAAGAACAGGACCAATATTTTTAGCTGTCATTTTCTCCTAACACTACAACAATCTGATGTAACCAGTTGGTCATGGGGGTGAGCAAAGATCTCATACTCTGTTGTTTAGCATGCCCTTAGCTGAATAAGAATATTTGATCATCCAACAAGATGCATTTATTAGACACACACTATATTCCATGCACTGTGTTTAAATTGTGCATAGAAAACATTAAAAAGACATGGCCTTGGCTTAAGAAATGTAGAGTTCAGGGGTATTACACATGCTTAAACTACCAATTGCAGCACAGACTCCAAGGCTATGACATCTCACTGACTTGTGGAAAAATTGGTGACTTCCAACCTCTAAAGTTGTTATGTACTTACCTATTTTGTCAAAAAATACGGCTATCAGAAGTAACCTGACTGTTGTATGCGATAGAAGTTTGGGGACTATAATATGTTTTCTCCTAAAAATAAGCTTTTAAAAATGCAGGCATTATTGGTCTCTTAAAGGCAGATGAGAATTACTGGGTGGGAAGGTGACTAGAATACCAGTGAGGATAAGGCTAGTTAAATGTACAGAGGAATTTGGGACATATTTATACATTGTAGATGTTATTTTGCTAGACTCAGATATTGAAATGTCTTTTTTTTTCAATGAGATATAAGTAAACAAATACAACCTTATCCAGAATTAACTATGTATATTGGACATACTGATCAATAGAACACTTCTTCTTGTCTGTGCCCTTTAGCCCCACATGTAAACCAGAAGTCAAATGGCATTGTGAAAACCTTGATATTTTATTAGCCTACCAAAAATATTTCCAATCATTCTTCATTGATAATACTATTTTTAAGAGTCAGTTAACTTTGCAGTACTTTATATTTGTTAGACAACTGAAGTGGTGAGACTAGCTGTGTAGCATTCTTTCCTGACTACAGCCAAAGACTGATTGTACTTATTTCAAACACAGCAGAAGATGAACCTGGTATAATACATCTGTATCCAACCACTGTCCCAGTTCAGAGATATTTAAGTTGGCTCAATTCAGTATCATCCCTTCTTCCATCATCTCTCTTCCTCTTGGGATTACAGGCATTCTTCCATCATCTCTCTTCCTCTTGGGATTACAGGCATTCTTAAATGTTGCAGGGTAGAGATAAATTGGATGTGGTTAAGCTAGGTCAGCAGGCACCGAAGGGCACCACATCCACTGGGACTTAGTGGGGTTTGGCAGCTGCCAGAGAAGGTCAATGCTTCCTGCAGCTGATGTGAAGTTAGAACCGTTGAAGCCTTGGCTTCTGGCTTTGGATGGACTTCACTGGAGTGAAGACTAGACAGTCTGCAAATTATGGCATCCACAGGGCTTTTGAACACAACAAAAATCCTTCTGCTGGGAGTGCTTTCCTGAGACACCTCTCATTTCTCTATGAAACATGCAGATCCACAAACATATTTTATTCTTCTCTCAAATGTGCTGCCTCCATTTTTATAATTTTGACACAGAAGCATCTAAAGTAATTAATGGAATTTAGAAACTTATAAACACTAGAGACAACCCAACAATTGTGAAGTTATTTCTGCTTTCCACTCTGGTAAACTTGAGGAAATGGACCAAGACTCTGTTAACATGTATGGAGATATTTAGGGAAAAGGAACAGGTGGGAAGGTGGTAAGGAAGACACAGCAAGCATTTCAAACAACTCTACAACAACAGAATTTTCTGTAAATTCCTGTATGTTTTATGGACCCTAGAATGAAATTGTAGGATTCAACTCTTGTTCTGGTGCTTGTTATCTGAGTGACTTTCAACAAGTCACCATTCTAGACCTCAAAGATGTCCTCCTCTGTGAATGGGGATGATGATAGCACTCTTTAAGGGCTACTATGAGAATTAAATAAGTGTGTAATATACTTAGAAACATATACATTAGTATTCAAGAGTTGAAATATTTTAAAGTTTGTTTTTACTTAATAAACTCACAAAAATACATTATACCAATCCTGAAATTGTCCACTATTAGGAAGGGTATGACTAGTAATCTTGTTACGGTGGTCTCAGAAAAGGCTAATATTAAGACACTATAATACACAGATCAAAGGAGCTTTGGGATAGAGTCCTGGTTGCTGTGGATGTAAAGACAAGGAAAAACAAGTTTAGGCAAGAACAGCGCTGAAAAAAGATTTCAAGACTGGGCCAACAAATGGTGAAGAATCACTTAATTTGCCTTAAACATAACCATCACTAAGTGGCTTTTTTGCTGGGAGGTTTTTTTGTTTTTTGTTTTTTTTTTATTGTTTTATCTGAAGCTATTTTTCCATGGGAACATATTTCTGGCTATAAATAGGAAATCAATGGTAGGCAGGCTTTACTTTGCTGAACTTATCGATTCTATAAAATGAAAGCTGCTCATATATACATCTAGCCAGGCAAGGAGTCAGGTTTGTTTCTTTCTAAACTGCCTTTCTTGGCCCTTTCAAATCTAACAGGGCTGAAAAGGAAAAGGGTCGTCGTCACAAACTAACAGCCATTTTGATGACAAGAAAGCAGGGTTGCTTCCCAATGTGTCTTTGTTCAAGTGATAGCAGGCCCATTGATACCTCCTGATGGAGCTCATTGAAAATAATAGGCCCTATTATCTTCACTGGCAATGCTGCCATGAAGCTTCAAAAACTGAAATAATGACAGCACATATTGGATGTACAGTAGAAAGGCATAGCATGATTATGGGCAATTTCTGCCTCTTTTCTACATACCTCAATGGATGAAGGAGGGGGCAGCTGGGACAGACTGTAATGACCAGGGAAGGGACAGGTAGCTATGCCCTTTTGTCATGTTTGTATGCTTAGAATTTAAATGCTTTTTCTCAAATAATTTGTAAAAGTAAAAAAATCCATGTCAGAATCTTCATAAACTAGAGTTTGGGAAGAATAGATTCTTTAGTAGTGAAATACTGTCATATTTGGTAACTCATCAGGAACTGCTCCTGTGAAATTGGTAGGAAATTTCTGGGAGACGGCAAGTCCGCTAAGGCAGAGTGACTCTGTACTTACTCTCTAGAGGAGGGTTTCTCTAAGATCACGATGCCCTTCCTTTCTCCACATCAGCACTCTCTGTAATCCCAGATGTTCTCAGCAAATCTGATTTTTCTGCCCACTGGGGTTGGGAGGAACAAATGAGAAGGAGGATAAATCTAGAAGAGAGGATACATCAGCCCACAGAAAAACCCAGTGGGTCAGGAACAGACCTATTAGGCTCTGAGAAATTACCAGGAGGAAAACTCCCCGGAAGGCTCAATGACAGCTGAGTAGGAAAGGACTCCCTCAGGAGGAGAATGGGCTCTATTAAAGGAAGAAAAAAAAATATATTTGCTTTTGGGAACCTTTCTTTTGTTGTTCGTTATTATCTCTGTTTTCAGAAATGGAATGTCTTAAAACCACTAACGAACACACACAGACATCTTCTTTTTATTTGAAACAACTCCAAAGAATATACTGTGTTGTGTACATCATCTTTGGGGCTTATACTTAATATAAGAACAAGATGGTCTCCCTGCTTTCCTGGTGCCTGACCATAGCTGGGGAGAGGCCCATGGCAGAAACAGCATCATCTGGCTATTGTGGCAAAATGAGAAGTGACAAGGAGGAAAAGAATATCTGGTAGAAATCTTTCACATATCTGTCCATTTTAAAAGTAAATGTCATTCTACTTTTCGGAGAACTTCAGTTTCTAAATACTTATTAAATCTTGGCTGAAGAATAACCTACATGACATCATTGGTATGCTCATTTAAAACACAAATTCCAGACTTTATTCCAGATCTAAACTGGACTCCTTGGGGCTGAGCTTTAAAAATCTGTATTTTTAAACAAACATCCTAGGCAATTCTTGTCCACAACAATGTGTGAGAACAGTGTGATTCTGAGCTCAGATAGCATAATTAGACCTATATTTCTGGGTGAAGCCTCACAATTACAGCTTGCAAACAAAATGAGTAAGTTCTGCATCACATCTCAAAAGCAATCTTTCAATACTGTACTGTGTTTTCTGTTCACAGTATAAATGTGATATTGAAGGGTTTTCCAATGTCATAGATTTTGTCTTAAGGGGACAGAGGGGAAGCCATGTCCAATGTATCAGAGAATGCATTTCCCCTCTTAGGGCCTGCCCTGCTGTAGAGCAGTGGTGAATTAAAATGTGCTGATTATCCATAGCACAGTCTGTCAGTAGTACATTCAAAGCACTAATCTTCTTTCAAAGAACAGTGCCTAGGGGTTGTGGAATTTCCCTCTTCTGGCATACTTGGAGTATTGAATCCTCAGAGTAGATTGATTTTTAACAACCCTCCTTTCTATGTAATGTTATCTTCAGTAGTGATCTTCTGATAATCAGTGATGATCATTAATTTTTTATTTATCCTTTATTTCAGAAATGAACAATTAAGAAAGAAAATTTCAACTTGAAAAAAGTTACGAAAATTCAACATATTACTTTGTGTATAGCCTAAAATAGACACTTAACGATATACAGTTTCTTTTGTTTCATTCTCAAAAATTTTAAACATATGAACTTCAAGTAGTCACCAAGAATGACAAAAATGAATAGCTCATGTTATTTTTCTTCATTTTTACAATCATGTGCAATCTTTGTATATCTAGTGTTTAAACTCAGGAATATGTACAATGACAGCATTTGGAAAGACAAACTCAAAGGATGTTGAGCCATTACGAATGTCTTGTGAACTGGTAGTTCTTCAAAGTTCATGTAGAATATGACATTTATTAAAGAACATATAGATTTTATTACAGAACAGTACTAATTTAAAGGTCACATTGCACTCGGATATTAAAAGTCAACAGTAATCTCAGGAATTTAGAAATGAAACCAACAAGATACTTTTTTGCAAAGGAGTATTTCATCACTGATATTTAGAATTGTTGGAGCATGTTGAGAATGGAAAAAGCATACAGTCTTTTAGTCAGCTCAGGACTTGTGTCTGTATCTATCTTTGCTCAGATTCTCTCAGGAAACATTACTCTCAGTTTCTGGCGTATATAAATCATTTCTCTTTTTTTTCTTTTTTCTTTTTTACATTCTTTTTTCTATAAAATATATATTCTCCATCTATTCTAGCCTTCATTGAAAAAAACATATATATCTAATATTTAGCAATTCAAAAAGTCTTCTATATTCTCTTTTCATTCTTAAATTGTATCTTCCTTTTGATCACAAGGATTGTAAGTTAATAGAGATGCAACTGTGGTCAAGTTATCGGATTCCAATCCCAGACTCTTTGCATCATATATCATGCTTTTTCAGTTCTGAAACATCTTTTTGCATCTTTTTCTCCTGGCATTGTATTCTGTGCCACTGAAATGTTGTCTAATTTTTTCCATATGTATTGGTCTTTTCTCTGCCTCATTTGCATCTCCAACTGAACACTAACTTAATTGACCAAAAAGGTGATGTTTTATAATTCTTTTATGCCCTCCTTTTTTCTATAGGTCTTAGCATATTTCTAATCACATAAAGAATTTTCAAAAGTTTTTAGTTAATTGCTTTGACAATAGATTAAATTATTGATCGATTGATACCATAATTAGTCTTTTGACTCTTGGTATAATTTATTTTCTGTGTTCTTTCTACATATCACAGGTACTTTCATTAGCATATCCTTATTTTCCAGGCACCTTTGAATTTGGTACAATGTTTTGACCCTTTATTTAAATCAGCATTGAGCCCAGCATCTTTCTGGATTTTGTAGCGTATTTGTGGTCTGTATTCCTCCACCTCTATGTTCAGTTCTTCTCTTGGAGTATAACCTATGATATATCACTATGGAATGTGGTTTTGAGCTTTAGACATATGACTGCCTCACACTAGCTCAGTATAGTAGACATCCAGGTGAAGTGTTAGGGTGAAAAATTAGCAGGTTGGCCTTTATTAAAAGGAAGATGAGCTGTTGAGAAAATTCTGGCTTTGAAATTATGTTAGAAATTCATTTTAGTGTCCTAGCAGCGAATAAAAGATAGATCTTTTGTTTAGATAAATACCCTTGAGATCACCTGAATTGTGATTTAAAAAAAAAAAATAGCTCACACAACTATGGCAAAGACAAAAAGGCAGACTGATAAAAGACAATTAAGCTAAGAGTTCAAAGACTGTGAACTCAGTAGGCTGTGAGGTCCTAGAGAGCACAGACTGATTATAATATTCATATTTCTGGTACACAGATGTTTCTGCCTTATAAGCCCTTAAAATTCTTTCAAATAAATAAGTGAATGAATGACTGAAAGAAGAATGACATAAGCTGCATCTTCAAGTCTGTGCCATGTACCAACTGAGTAACCCAAAGTAAGTCAATAACTTTGGCTATGTCAGCTTTCTCATAAGTAAACCTGGGATTTGAAGTGAGCTATCTTTACCTTGGGGTTGTTGTGAAAATAAATTCTGTATGCCTGTTAATGTTGGCTAGATAGTAGGCAGTTATCAAATAGAAGTGCTATGTATTTTGTATCAGTCAAAATGGATTTAACTGCAAGCAATGAAAGTTTGCTCGCTCTAGTTTAAACAATTTATTTTTCCCACATAATGCAAAGACCAGATATCAGTCAAGGCTGATATTGTTCAGTAACTCAGTGATATCAGGGTCTATGTCCCTTCAACTCACTCTGCCTTTGTCTCGTGATCAGACACAACTGCAGTGGCTGCAGCTAGAAATCTAGAAAGTAACGTAGGGAAGCAGAAGGATAACACCTGCTGTGTTATCTATTTTCTTTTATGGAAAGCTGTTTTCCCAGGAGCCTATAGGGAACACTCCCACTTGGGTCTCATTAAACTTTGTACATGGTTATTCCTAGCAGTTTTGAAAGTGACAGAGCTATTATGATTAGCTTCAGTCAGTCATGTTTCATTGCCTAGGAATGGGCATACTCTGCCCCAAACCAAATCCAGACACAATTAACAAGGAAAAATCACATCTAACCATGTCTTCCACATGAATATCTGGAAATGCTATGAGGAAACAAGATTTTAGAAAGAAAAACAATATGCCAGTGCTTCCACTGGACATAAAAGTGTGTGTATGTGTGCATGTATGTAGTAGTAGTGTTAATGGGGGTGGGAGTTTAACCATTTTCTCCTTTGATTACTAACTACCTGATATGGGAAAGAACTGGCATAAAGTCATCTGGTATGTGAAGTCCTTAAAGTAATAGGTACTTTTAAAATCAACATTTTTAATGCTACCTTGTAAAAATTCCAGCTTTTTTCAGCTTTGCAAAGATAGAGTGATAGCCACAGTCTTTGCAATAGAGGGAGTATTAGATGACTCTCCAATCTGCCATATACTTTACTCTTTCACTTTTGATACTGAAAGGAGAACACATTTCATATCATCAGTGGAAAGTGCTTACTGAAGTAAGACTCATAAGAGTAATAATTATAGTGTAGGTTAGCTCCTTACTTACATCTTCTCCTTAATTATGGGCTCAACCCAATATGCCATTCCTGTAGTATCTGGTGACCCACAAGCTTCTTTTACACGAGAATATCTGGCATACTTAAATAGGGTATTCATTCCATTATTTGCTTGACTATGATCCTGGTTCCCCCTCCTTCTTATTCCCACACCCACTATTAAATTGCTCTGCTTATTTCCCATTAAGGAAGTGACTGCAACCTAGTACTCTGACTCTCTGCTTATTTATGAAGTCAATGTTTACTCTGTTGAACCCGTCAGTGTTTAAAAAAGAAAGGAGGGAGACATTTGTGACCCAGCCACTGACAGGAGGTCACAATTTACAACTGCCAAATTACCAAGTAATTTTATTAATACCAGCCTCTGAAAGAGAAGGAAAAGTTGCTTTTAAAGCCTTTGGTTATATGGCTAGAATATAATTCTGTGTTAAATATCAGCTAATTTTTTTTTTTACCCTGAACATAGTAGAGCCCAGATTATTTACAGTTCATGAGGATGCTCCAGGGTTATACGGCTGCCATATAACAGATTTCTTTGTTTTAAGAGTATAACAGATACTACATAGTTTACTGCAGTAAATTTCTCATTTCTAACTATAGACACATTAAAGCCTTCAAATTAGCTAGAGGACTCTTGGTAATAATTTATAGCTACAACAATAATTATAGCTCCATTTTTATTAAACAAATTCCCCCCAAGATATTTTATTTTCAATACAGAAGTTTTCACTTTATTAGGCTTCAATAGATTGGTGTCCTAGTCTGTTTTCTGTTGCATAACAGAATATCACAGACTGGGTAATTTATAAATAATATAAATTTATTTGGCTCATAATTCTGGGGG